TTTATTATGAAAACAGGCTGGTGTGGGGACATGGGGAGAAACAAGTACATTTAAGTTGGGTGGCTCAGGTGAAGTAGTGCGGCTTCTTCACATTGATGCCATACTCGCTGAGGGCCGGGGTCAAATCCTCCATGGTTAGAGTGTACTTGCGGTCCTGAGGGAAGAGGGAAGAGCACCTGCTGAGCACAGGAATCGCAGATTTCAATCCCTGACAGGTGACCCTGAGTAGGTCTTAAACCTCCCCTAAAGTTTAGTTTCCCCAAAGGGGTTTCAGGATAAATTTATGCTCCATGCTGTGGGGGTAATTACTGATTCATTGAGCTTCCCCTCACACCTTGCTCTTGCTTCGCGAGCTGCCAGAGGCTGTGCCCTTCATTTTGCAGTGCTGTAGGGCATCGTTGGCAATATCTGAGATGAATTTCTGGGCAGCTAGGGAAATGAGCCGAATTCTAGAGAAAAAAAACCCAAAAAACTGGTATGAGAAAGCAATGGCCGATAACTTCCATGCAAGCACCCGATGTTAATCAGCCCAGAGTTTACTCACATGCGTGGGTCCGAGGCCTCAAAACCAGCTCGGTTTAGGTAGTAGCCAGTCACTGCATCTGGGATCTGATAAATAAAGAACTGTCAGACTGAATTCTACTGGGTTGAGTTGGAGGAAAGTAAGGGAAATGGAAGAGGTCAGGAAACTCAGAATTTGGGTGTGCAAAGGGGTAAATCACAGGAGAGGAGCAAACACAAGAGGACGCAGAAAAGTCCGATGTGGCTGAAGGCTGGTATGACAGCAGGCCCTGTGGCCTTATTCAGGCGGGAAGCCCACCGTAGGCGTGTAATCCTCCAGCTGCATCAGGAAGTCTACAAGAGGCATGCTGGACATCACTGGCTTCACGTCTCCGTTGGCCGCACTTGGCAATACATAAACTCCATTAGACATGACCCCTTCCGAAGCCGCCGCGCCGCCCGCCGACACCGGAGCTGCAGGGGAACCAGCAAACAGACACGGGGGTGGAAGGCTCAGGACACTATCTAATTCTTATTTGTATCCTCAAACTACACCCGCGCGAGGCACCGCCCTCACCCGTCTGGCCCTCACCCGCCCCGCGCCGCTCTGCCGGCTCCCCGGCCCGCGCCGCCACGGGTCCCGTGCCCACAGACGCGGCTCCAGTCCCAGGTCCCCCTGCGGTCCCCGCGGGGCTGGCCTTGTTTTCAGCAGCGTTGCTAGCAGGCAGCGCGGCGGGGGGTGCGACTGGGGTCGCGGGACCCGGGGCCGAGGCGGCGTTGGCCGGCGCCGCCTCGGGGTCCGCGCCGGAGCCGCTGCAGCTCATCGGGCCGGTAGGAGAGGCGGCGAACAGAGCCGCTTCCGCTTCCGCTCACTTACGCACACACCGGATGACGTCACTCGCGCTACAATTGGGCCCGCCCACCCCATCTTCCCTCCCTCCCTCCCATCTTCTTTCCAGACTGGCCGGTGACACACCGAGTAAATTGGAGACCAACATATTGAGAAGTATGCTGGCCATTTGCATTTCAGCCCCGCGATATTTCAAGTGGTTCCACCTGGATGGGAACCACTGTATGTCCTACACTCTGGAGACCTCATTTAGTCACAAAAGATTTTGCTTTGGAGAGCGTAGGCCCAGAGCACACCACAAGGAAGGGGGCGCCACTGAGCAAGTTTCTATTAGCCTTGGCAGTTTCAAGCACTAGCTGTGACAGATTATTGAGCAAATTAAACGAAAAAAAAAACCCCACTGCTCAAAAAAAAAAAGTCTCATTTTTCTGCCCAAAGCCTCATCTTTCTCCTGAGGTATGGCTGGTGGGTTTGAACTGCTGACCTTGCACATTTGAGAGCCTCCATGGGTCAAGGCAGACTGTTGTGGTCTTGCTTTTATTGAGTGTATAAAGAAGAAACTTTTTAAAAAAGCAAATTCTAGGCCAATTTTCATCAGTGAAAGCAAGGAAAGTGCAGCTGTAATGGTCACACAGTGCCATTATGTGTTAAGTAAACGATTAATGAACTTGACTTATATAACTGAACTGATATATTATGGAGTCCTGGTGTGACGCTGTGAGTTGATGTGCTGGACTGAAAAGTTAATTTGAACGGTAAGGTTGCTGTTTCAAGCTCACCAAACCCTATGAGTAGGAACTGACTTAATAACAATTATGGTAAAGTTATCTAAAACATGGGTATCAGGTATTTGGGCAAGAGCAATTTCAGTACTTCCCATATTTTTGGTAGATACATCATCTGCATTACAAGGCCCAACATCCCTTGACTCTGGGTTATCTGCCATCCTACATCCCTTCTACTGGTTGCTTTCTAATTGATTCAGACTCACTGAAACCCTATAGGATAAAGTACAACTCTCCAGGATTTTCAAGGCTATACATTTTTACAGAAGCAGACTGCCACAACTTTCTCCTGCAGAGGGGCACCTTGCAACCCCTCTAGTTCTTTTTCAGCCTTTTATGGGTTCATAATGGAGATATGGAGTCCTGGTGTGGCGCTGTGGGCTAATGCGTCAGACTGCAAAATCGTTTGAACTGCAAGGTCTGTAGTTCAAGCTCACCAGCTGCTCCTTGGAAATCCTATATAGGGTCGCTATGGGTCGGAATCGACTCGACCACACTTAACAACAACAACAATGGAGTTATGGTAGCGTAGTAGTTATGAATCAGGCTGTGAACCACAAGGTCAGCAGTTCGAAACTACCAGCTGTTCCGAGGGAGAAAGGTGTGGCTTTCTGCTCCCATAAAGATTGACAACCTTGGAAACTCTATACAGGGTCGCTATGAGTCGGAACCAACTCCACGGCACATAACAACAACAACAACAACAATGGAGTTATATCCTCCTCTGTCCCCTCCCAACTAACTACCCCTCAAGAGGCAGGGGCAGAAGGAGGGTGGCATACAAAGGTGCCTTAGAAAGCGAGAAAGGTATTTCAGTCTGAGAGAAACACAGACACCAAACAACAGCAAGTGAAATCACAGGATTCTCAATTCAGCAAACATTTATTTTTTAAATTCCTGTTTAACAACCTCTGAGCATGGGCTGGGGGATACAAAATTGAGGACAAAACTGTAGACCTCTTAGAAAATAAGGCAAACAAAATGGCGATTTCAATACTATATGATAGTTACAATTCTAGAGGTAGGCACAGGATGTGTAGTGCAAAGGAGGACGAGACCATCTGCTGTTTACTCCAGTGTGCCAGGCACTTTGTCAACATTATTCCATTTCATTGTTTCTGGTATTTTTAAGAGGTCAGTATTGATATCTCCACGTAATAGATGAGGAAACAGACTCAGGGAGATAAACATCTTGGCTCAGTTCCTTATCAGAACCAAGAATAAAATGCGTTTGATTTTTGTAAAATCTAGGATTTTGCTGCTGTACCTAAATCACTTCACTGAGCTTCAGGGAAGCAAAAAGGTTCACAAGAGAAGGTAACTTCCAGGCTGTCTTGAAACAATTCTGGAAATTAACCAGGCAAGAGAGTTAGCAAGGAGTAAGCAGTAGGAGTAAGCTTGAGCCAATATGAAAGTATGGGGTGTGGATGGAGGTGAGAGTATGGAGGTAGGGACACGGCTTGGAAGTGTTTTAATCAAGTCAACGGTCGGATGGGATTTGCCTTTTATTCTAGAAGACGGTTTAGGGAAGACAAGGACACTGTTTTTGCAAGGGCCTCCTAAAGTAGAGGACAGAGAATATGACTCTAATATAGAAGCAGTGGTGATGGAGAGAAGTACATGAGTTCTATACTTAAGAAATACAATTGACAGAATTTATAGCTTGATAAGGAGCTCTGGTAGCGCTGTGGTTACGAATCGGGCTGCAAACCACAAGGTCAGTAGTTCGAAACTATCAGCTGTTCTGAGGGAGAAAGATGAGGCTTTCTGCTCCTGTAAAGATTTGCAGCCTCAGAAACTGTGTACAGGGTCACTATGAGTTGGAAGCTACTCCACAGCACATCACCACCACCACCATAGATTGATATAAGCATATTAAAAGGTAAAGTCAGTAGTATTTGTTGATTGAAGATGGTGGTGGTATACAGGTGTGAAGGAAATGAGAGTCTAGGATACCAGGTGTCTCATTTGGTTGGAAGAAGCAGAGTGCCAGTTAACAAAAAGAAACAAACGAGATGGGACAGTTCTGAGGTTGAAATGAAGGGAGATGCAACGCTGCCTATCACACATTTTACATTTGAAGTATTAATCACTATTGGATAGAAAGTCTCATGAAGTTAGATGCTGATGACTGTGGATGTCAGTGATTTGTTCCAAGGGACAATAGGTATAGTTGTTGTTGCTGATAGGTGTCGTCTAGTGAGTTCCAACTCATAGCAACCCTATGCACAACAGAACAAAGTGCTACCCAATCCTGCATCAGCCATAATTGTTAAGATATCGAGTCCATTGCTGCCACCACTGTGCCAATCCATCTCGTTGGGGGTCTTCCTCCTTTTTTACTGACCCTGCACTTTACCAAGCATGATGTCCATCTCCAGGGACTGGCCCCTCCTGATAATATGTTCAAAGTCTGAGAAACTAAGTTTCACCATCCTTGCTTCTAAGGAGAATTCTGGCTATACCTCTTGTAACACAGATTTGTTTGTTCTTCTGGCAGCCCATGGTAATTAAAATATTCATAACTCAAATGCATTAATTTATGCAAAAACTCAAGTTGGAGCAATGGCAAACACCAGCACTCACTGAGTAAGCAGAGAAAGAGGAATCCATGAAGGCAGAGACACACGGGATTAGAGAAGTTAAGTTCTGAAATAAGGAAAGAAAGGGAATGAGTGGGTAACTATGACAGAATGTCCATAAAACAAAGAATGAGAAATGCACACAGGATAAAGTCCCAGGCAGGCCAGATTCTCAGAGAGCCCAGTGTTGGGAGAGGAGGGTAAAAGGTGAAAGCAGAGATCTCATTACAGTGGATTGAAGCACGACCATGAAGTGAAATAGTGCACACCATCAGTGCAGTCACTCTTTGGAAAAGCCTGGGTGAAAAGACAAGGAAGAGATGAGGGTAGGAGCGTTGAAAAGTGCTGGTTATTGCATTTTGCAGGGAAACTTGAGGCAGGAGTGTAGACACCTGAGTATAATGGAGCAGGGTAGGTTTAGGAGTCAAGTTCAGCTCACAGCATTACAGGGTTAGAGAAGTAAGCTGCCTGTAGCTGTCAATGGTTAAGGATTTAGCAGGGTTCCCAACAGGGCAAAATAAGAGACCAAGTCACTAGCTGCAAGATAGGACAGGTCAGCTCTCCTAGCAAGAAAAGGTCATGGATTAAGTAGTGTCTTCAGTAGAGCTGGAAAGTTGGGTGTTCCCCAGCCTGTCACAGGATCCCATCCAGGGCCAGAGCAGAACCCCTGGCCCTGCACCTCTTCATTCAGACAGGACTCATGGCAGCCACGGGTGACCTAAGAAGAAAGTAGGCATGAGATCTGGACTTGGTGGTTCCAATACTGCTAGGTTACACATCATCACTCTGTATTTACAACCCGGAGGCTCTCTTACCACATCAGAACTGTCCCGAGTTCAACTCAGTATTCCTCATACTGATATGAAAGCACCCTCACCCTTCAAAACACACTCACGTCAAAGAGTCCAGCTCCATACTTCTGGTAGAGCCTTGGATTGAGAAAGCCAAGAGGGGGGTGGCCACTGAGGATTCTATGCTCATTTATCAAGGACAGGAGTCCTCCAAACACTGGAGTGGATGCCTGAATCGGATGACGGTACAAGTAGAGGTCAGGGGTTGAGAGTGATTAGAATTACTGAGGGGAGGAGGGGTGATCTAAAAGGATCTGACATCTCTGAGGAGTCAGGAGTCAGGCTGATTCTCACCGAGGTGCCAGACACCCATGGAATGGGCACGCTGTTGCTGACTACCCAGTAGCCATCAGAGAGTGCGGCCACATCGGGGTAGGCACGACCACTAGCATTGAAGTAACTAGATGGTGGCAGATGGGGGCTGGAGCTCAGAAACTGGGCCACAGCTTCCTCCTGAAAGGCATTATTGAATGAGCATCGGCTGGTGGCCTTCCCAGTAATCTGTTGAACTGAAGACATCAACAAAAACATACACATACCTGGTATGAAGGCCGTGGAAACACATTGCTGAAACCACCACCACTGATATAGTCAACAACCTCATTTGTTACGCGGAAGGGATTCTGAAAGGATGTGCCTCCCACTGTGGTAACATAGGGGCTAAAGGCAGAAGACAACATGCAGATTATAAGGGGATCGTCGGGAACCTCCAAGATGTGTGTGGCTGAATCAGTATGGCCTGGTTCTTACTAAAACAAAAAACCCCCACTGCCATCAACGGTGACTCATGATCCTACTGGACAGAGTTAAATGCTCCATAGTGTCCGAGGTGGTAAATCTTTATGAGAGCAGACAGCCTAATCTTTCTCCTCTGGAGCAAGGGGTGGGTTTGACCATCAACTTTGTGGTTACCAGCCTAGCACATAACCCATCGTAACACCAGGCCTCCTTGAGTCTTGCTAAACCAAAAAACCATACCTACTGTCATCGAGTTGGTTCTGATTCACAGCAACCCTGTAGAGGGTTTCTGAGGCTGTAAATCTTTACAAGAGCAGCAAGCCTCATCTTAGCTCAGCTGGTGGGCTCAAACTGCCAATTTTATGGTTTACAGTCCAGTGTTTATCCTACAGAGCCACCACACTCCCATCATAACATTTGTTGTTGTTGTTGCTGTTAAAAGCCATCAAATCGGTTCCACCTAATAGGGACTCTGTATCGGATTTCTGAGGAGTAGCTGGTGGGTTTTAACCATTGGCCTTGTGGTTAACAGTCCAGTGCTTATCCTACAGGACACATGCTTATTCTAGCACTGCTACTTATTTTGGAAAATATTTCTTTAATGGGCCCCTTGAGTTTTGTTTTGTTGTTGTTAAGTGCCATCGAGTCAATTCCAACTCATAGCAACCACATATAGGATGTCCAAGGAGCAGTTTGAACCACCAACCTGTGGTTAGCAGTCCTGTGCTTATGCTACAGTGCCACACCACACTCCTGAGTCTTGCTTGTTGATGCTGTTAAGTGCTGTCAAGACGGTTTTGACTCAGAGTGACATTGTATAGGGTTTCTGAGACTATCTCGCTAGAGGGATTCAATTCTATTTTGAGATCTCAAGGCACGGAGTGAGATAGCCATCTTTTCTCAACACTTTTTTCTACAGAGCACCCACCAAATCATCCACTAAAATGCCTGGGTGCTGTGGAGAAAGTGCACTGGGAGCTGATTCTCACCCAGCAGACCTGGGACCTGAGTCCTACAGAAAGAGAAAGCAGTATAGCAGGCAGGGAAGGTCAGGTTGAAGAATAGAAGGTCCTGATGGGGTCAAGGCAAAGTCTCCAGATCACAAACTCACAGGTGAAAGGATGTGATCACAAGTGGTGGGCTACGATGCTTACCTGGAAGCAGGGAAGCTGGGACGGAACTGGTGTCTTCCAGAGACAGACCAACATCCAGCCCCACTGTCACCTAAGAGAGAAACCAAGTTCAGCAATCAGATTACTTTGTCAGAGCTTGGTATGTGGGTTCAAAACTCAAAATGAAAATTCAGTTGTTATTTCTTATTGCAGATCAGAGTTTAGAGGTCAGGTTAATGGCCCCTGTTGAGGATCTGAGTTCAGATTCTAAGTAAGAGATCAGCTTGAGGGGTCACTGTAGGCCAAAGGTCTCAAGTTGGGTTGAATGAGGGGTGGGTCTAAGTCTTGGGTAGGAAGTCACCTGAAGCAAAGAGCAGGGTGAGACCCCGAGTGGCGGCCTTCATGAATTCAGTGTTGACCCGCTGGATGTAGGCTCTGCTGAGGGAGTCCTCGTCGTCCCCGTAACTCACAGTGTGTACTTGCGGCAGGGCTGACTCATTACTGAGCAGGAGAAGCCACTGTAAGAAGGGCTCCTGTGCCTCATGCCGGCCTGGATTTATGGGGGAGTGGGGCACAGGGTAGTCACTGTGGGGTTGTAAGGATCTCCCTCCAGATCGTGGGAGTCCCTTGAGGCAGCGAAGCTCAACACCCACACCCAGACTCTTCCCCACCATCCAATCCCTCTGGTAATACCAGGGCTGCTATAGACCCAGGTGGAGATGTTGGCACCAGCACTCATCAGATACTGCACATCTAGACTGGCCTCCAGCCCAGCCCGGCCCCGGCCCTGCTCTCCGATCACTCGGGTTACTGATGCCTGGTGGGCAAAGTCTCCACCAAAGAGGCGCATGAACTCAGCCAGGTCTGAGTTATGGAAGTACTGCTCCAGGAACTATAAAGGGAATCAGAAAAGGAATCATAGGGCAGAGGGTACATCACAGCCAAAGAGTCAGGACTGAGGACACTGTGTGGGATAAGGGATGAGAGCCCAGTCAAGTTCCAGGGAGGTAAGGCACTAAGAACACCTTGGGGCGGCTGTGAGGACCTGGGTTTTTCTGCAGGCCTCACCTGGGCACAAGCCTGGCTGTTGTTGGTGGTACCAGAGCCCACATCACGTGATGTCAGGTTGTATCGCTCACGGATCACAGATGGAGTCACCCCCAGGTGCAGGCCAACAGTCTCTGCCACCTGTGACTCAGGGCGTTTCCTCAGGGATGATGTAGGAGGGAAGCGGTGCAACCCCCCCACTGTGGGGAGGGGTCGGGCTTGAGGAGGAGCTCTTATAGACACCAACCCCGACTTTACTGCTGACCCTACCCCAGTCCCCCACAGCCTCTAAACATCCCTAGACCCTGGTCCTGCCTGCCTCTACCCCCACCAATTCCACTGGGTGTTACCAAAGTCCACATGGGAGGCCAAGGCCTGAGGGAGCCGGTAGGGATATGGAGACCTTACAACACGGGTCTCTGCAGGTCCTCCTACATAGCGATGAAACTCAGCCCCAGGGAGCAGCAGCTCTGCCTGTCTGGAGGACAGATACCAGAGAAGGAGGTCAGAAATCACGGGAACAGAGCACAGGAGGCCACTTGTGTATCACTGGGAAGTCAGCTGTCTCCCAATGTACTAGGCTGCTCCCACCTATGAGCACCCAGCAAGCTCTCGGTTCCCTCCCTTTGGATGGCGACTGAGACCTCCATGGGACAATTATGTCCTCTCACCGGACATTAAGCCAGCAAGTCAGAAAGTCCTGTGTGGTCACTGAGTGGCAGTTCCGGGCTCCAGCTGCCAAGAGCCATTTTTGGACGGTGTGGAGGGTCAGCGGTGATGGTCGGACCAGTTCAGCCACATCCTCAAGGGTCAGGTATTTTCCTGCAGGGATTCAAGAGAGGCTCTTACCTTCACTCATCGCTTTCCCAAGGTGCCTTTTTAAACCCCAATCAGGAGATATCAGGGCTTCCCAGGGAGCCTGGAACAAGGTCTTGAGAGATAAGTAGGAATCTTCTAGCAAAAAAGGGCTGTACAGGGTATATGGAGGAAGAAAAGGCTGGGGAGATTTTAAATGCCATGAATATATCATAGTTTGCATTGCCATGACAGTGAAAAACAAATGAGGCAAATAAGTTAAGAATTTCCATTTTAAGTTCATTTTAAAACCATCTGGAGGCAATTATAAAATGGCATAAAATGTAACTGCAATCTTCATACTTCTTTATTTTAATTTGAATGTGATGGTGAGTCACTGTTTCCTGCGTGGAGCGAAGCACACATGAGTGCCCATCTCCTGGATGAATCCGAGACCACCTCCCCTCAGCGTTCCCCACTGCTGTAAAGGGCTTTATATAGGGCAGGGGACAATTCTGTAGAGATTGTTCTGGAGCAGAGTGGGGTGTGGAGTGAAGGGGAGGAAACTGCAGTGACCAGTCAGGGTGCTGGGCAGTAGTCCAGATGGGGAATCATCAACTGAGTTAGTCGTGGTGGGGGATGAGAGAAGTGACTAATGCAAAGGCTATTTAGGAGTCCTGGTGTGGAGCTGTAGGATAAACAGCGGAATGTTAACCACAAGGTCGGCGGTTCAAATCCACAAGCTGCTCCTCGGAAATCCTAAACAGGGTCTCTATGAGTCGGAACCCACTCGATTGCACTTACAAACAACAAGTTAGGAGCTAGAACCTACAGTTTTAGTGTCTGAGAAGCGAAAGTTGTGGGAGGAACTTATGATGACAAGCACAAGATGTTATTTCACGTTAGTCTAGTAGCTGGTAGGTAGTAGAGTAGGAATTTGATTCCATATCTGCTTACACACCTGTGTTCTTAACCACATCTACAACTTTGCTATTGCTAGCCTGAGGAGCACAGGTGGAAATGTTGTGGGGGAGAGCATGCATTGGTTTGGGACAGCTAAGTTACAGGGCATTCTTCTGTTCAGAAAGTCTCCAATGAAAGCTACAGCCACAAGAACATGACTCTGACATTATGTGCACCATCCCACGCCCCACCCAGTTCCTCCACCGCATCCTCCCTGCTGCCCCACCCCCACCCCCACCCCCACTCCATTCCCAGCAGGCACCATAGAGAGGAGAGCGGGGATCCGATACAGCCTGCACCACCTCTGAGAGTTTCTCCAGGTTCTGCTGTCTCAGGGCAAAGGTGAGACCCAGCTCTTCCTCGGGGTCCAAACGGCCCAGGGACACCCAGCCTGGGGGCAGCCTGCAGGGCAGGGGTCAAGGTTCAGGGCCAAAGCCTTGGTTAGAGTGAGGGTGGGAATTACAGGTTCTAGAAGTTTCGGGATTAGAGGCTGAGAGTTTGTGTGGGCTCCTAGCGGCCAATATATGGGTCACAGGAGGTGAAAGGAGGTGGTGGTGGTGGCGGCGGGAGGGGGGAGGGGGGTTGTTGAGCCTGGGAACCTGAGGAGGAAGCTACCGCGTGGGTTCCAGGAGCTAGTGAGGAGGTGACGGAGGCTAGGACCGGGAACTTGAGTGCAGGACAGGACACGAGGAGTTCTGTATTAAGTCACTCACGTCCGTCGCTGGTCAGGTTCCGGGCTGTAACTGCATTTCCCAGTGACAATGAGGGCAAGGAGCCCGAAGAAGCTGCAGAGGACGAGACAGGCTGATTTCAACAGGAGCTGGACTGTCATTGTTTCCCATTTCCCAACATGCATTCCTCCATTCTCTGTTCCCAGGCCCTTCCAGCCCACCCTCGGGACCCCCTCCCTCTGATTTTCTCACCAGACTAGGATTCCCATTCCGCCTGTCTGCCGACCTGCTGTCATGTGATGGATCACATGATCCCCATATCTCTTTACTACCACCCCTTTGGCTTAGTGACGGGCTGGCTCCTCCCTCAGATGGGTGGGTCTGAATGAGGGGTAAAAGGTGTCATTCGTTTTCTCCTTCTTGGCGGTCAAACTCTGTAAGCTTCCCAACAGGGCTCCCCTGAGTCCTGTGTGGCACAGTACTGAAAATCACACGGTGTAGGGGACCTGGGTTCGCCCTGGCTATATGGTATCACTGAGCTTGTTAAGTGCCATCGATTTCGTTCTGACTCATAGTGACCCTGTGTAGGGTTACCAAGGAGTGGTTAGTGGGTTTAGACACCGACCTTGTTTGAACCACAGACCTTGGATAATCAGTCCAATGATTATCCTACACCACCACAGTCTCTTCATTGTAACACACACAACTGTCATATAAAACCAATCTGCCTTGCAAGTGCTGTGAAAATTCACACAGATAAAACTGGTGACATGGCTTGCCATGTCAGCAAAGCAACAAATGTCAGCTAGTATTACAGTGTGGATACCCTCGGCCCAAGAAAAACAAACTGCTTAGCTCTTCTTGTATGCTCTCTCCCCTCTAGGCCTGAAGCTGGTCATCTCCAAAATTGCACCACATCCAGCCAATCCCTCCAGCCTTGTATTGTAACCAAGCCCCCCGCCCCCCATTGGCTGTCTTCTCCTAGGCTTCCTGCCCACATCAGAGGGAAAGACTGGCTGTCAAAGGTATATGGTCAACTCAGGCCACTCTTAAGCGCCAGTACCTCTTCCACCATAGATTTCCCCACCCCACCCCATGTCCACCACACTTCTATGGTTCCTGAGATGCCCACTGCCAATCATCCCCCTGCCTCTATGACCCTTACAGAACAGAGCCGGAGACTGGATACAAACTGCAGTTTATTAAGGCTCCAGAGTGAGAATTGGCACTTGGTTCTGGGCAGGGGCGGGGGTGTCAGCGGAACCCAAAGGAACTGGGCCCAAATAGGTTGGAGGAACCTCTCCCACCCCTTATCCCCAATAAATAAAGTCTCAGCCCCATCCCAGGGAGCTGGTGCAGGGCAGGAAGCTGTCAGGGAGAAACCCAGAGCTGCCGCCCCCTTCATATTTCCTTCACATCAGATCAGCCCCTCAGGTCAGTGCCCAGCAGGGCCTCTCTGGTGCTGGTGTTCTGAGGGGCTAGGATGTGGGGCCTGTCCCCACTGGAGAAGTTTGGGTGGGGATCTGGGGCCTGAAGGTGGCCTCCCCTGTGGTCAATCATAGTCCGAGGCTGCTCAGGGCAGGCTCAGAGTGGGGCCTGCATTGGGGACACTGTGCGCATCCCAGGTCGGGGCCCAGCCTGGGCCACAGCTAGATGTGCAGCTCTGTGTCATCAGGCGGCTCCAAGCCAGATTCTGAGCTGAGTGCTGAGGCTGAGGGGCCCTGGGCCACCCCAAATGGCGAGACAACAGGTGAGCGAGCAGCCAGAGGAGACAGCGAGGGTGAGAAGCTGGGGGACATGGCAGCTGAGGACAGGGAGCCTTCATGGCTGATGGGGGAGCGGTGAGAAGATGATGGAAAGATGGCCCGGGCTGCAGCTGTGCTGGCTGGCTTGGGGGGCACAGACTTGGCTCCGGGATGGGCCACGGCGGTGATGAGGGGTGGTGGGTCAATACGGGGAGCCGGCGGACATGGTCGAGCTTCGTCCTTGAGCCGGGCGATCTCTGTGAAGACACTGGCTAACGGCTGAAACTGCGGGCACCAGCTCAGCAGGTAGTCCCAGTTATAGCTGCCGCGGAGCTCCTCCTCGCCAGCCACAATGGCTGTCAGCGCGCCGGCCACACATGGTTTGCCATCTGCTGGGAAGCCATAGTCCCCTGTGGGTGCAGGGCTTAGACCGCAGCCCCCCAGGAATGTCGTGGCGGTAGTGGGGGGCCCCTCCTCTCGGTACAGAGTGGCTCCTGAGCCTGGCAGCAGCAGCCCTGCCTTCCGGCCCTTATACCACGTGTCAGGGGCGGGTGGCTCGCAGGATGTATCACTCAGTCCATCAGCATCCTGCTGGATGCCCGAGTCAGGGCCACGGGCAGCCAGAGATGATGCCACACTAGCCACGCGGGGGAACTCGTTGATCATGCGGATCTCGTCATCCTCAGCAGCCTCTGCTGAGCCTCGGCCACTTGAGTGTGAAGGGTCCAGGGAGCCCCCACGGGGGTAGGGCCCGCCAGCTCCTGGTCCACCATAGCTGGGGAGAGTCTGGTGATACAGGTGCTCTGAGGGCGGTGGGCTGGGTGGCTCTCGTCCCAGCTTCTGCAGGGAGCCACCGGCCATGGGAGCTGCCTGTGACATTGGGCCAGGGGCTGCCTCAGCCTTTCGATTTCGTGCCCGCACCAGGCCTAAAACCAGGGCTGCTACTGCAAGCACCACCACAACTCCCAGTGAAGCCGCCACAGCCCCCACCAATAACAGGTTGAGGTCAGGTGCCAGGCCCAGGGCAGTATGGGTGATATCTATGGTCACAGGTACTGTGGCACTTCGAGAGGCAGGCAGTGGCCCCCGGGCCACCACCTCCAGCCTCATTTCCCGTGGTGCCTCACGCCGGGACCGACCCCCACCGGCAGAGGTGCCTGTCCCACTACCTGGTGCCCTGCTGTCCACCCGCAGGTACAGGGCACCTGTGGTCTGGTTGATACCAAAATAGGGTGAAGAGGTGGCAAGGGAATAGAGCACCAGTCCATCAGCACCCCCATCCTCATCTGTGGCTTGCACATGACCCAGGCTGTGGCCACGCCGGGCACCTTCTGGCACTTGGAAGTGGAAAGCTGGAGCCAGGAATACAGGGTCATACTCATCCTCACCGGTCACCAGCACTGATACGGTGACCGAGGCTGAGAGATTCCCAGCATCAGCAGCCCCCACCAGCAGCCGGAAGCCTCCTGTGTGCTCGTAGTCAAAGGGCACTCGAGCTCGCAACTCCCCAGTTGAGCTGTTCAGAGCAAATGCTTCCCTGCCCTCAGGTCCCAGCCCAGCCTCCAACAGGCTGTAGTGGAGCCTCCCAAAGGCCCCAGCATCCCCATCAATTGCATGCAAAGTGGTGACAAGAGTGCCTGGAGGCTGGTTCTCTGCCAGGCTGGTGCTGAGCAAGTTCAGCGGGAAGGCTGGGCCATGGTCATTCACATCCTGGACCTCGATTATCACTGGTGCTAAAGCGAAATGTGTCCCGGCTGGGTCAGCAGCCTGTACTACAAGTTGATGCTGAACCTGGGTCTCACAGTCTAGGGGGCGGGCCAGGCGCAAGGCCCCTGTGTTCTCATCCAGCTCAAAGAGCCCTGATGGGTCACCAGAGCTGAGGGTAAAGCGCACAAGGCCATGAGGACCAGGGTCGGCATCGGAGGCCTCCACATGCAGCAGCTCGGCCCCCACAGGCGTGTCCTCAGGTACTGCCATGCGGTAGGCAGCTCGGGTGAAGACGGGTGGATTGTCATTGACATCCAGCACAGTGACTGTGACCGGCACTGCTGAGCTACGGGGTGGCTGTCCCCGGTCAGCTGCAGCCACGGTTAGATTGTACTGGGCCATGCTCTCAAAGTCCAGAGGCTCAAGCAGCACCAGGCAGCCCAGTGCTCGGGGACCTGGTCCAGCACCCTCCCCAGCCTCAGCCAGCCGGGGCTCCAGCTGGAAGATTCGGCCCCGGTTGCCACTGATGATGCTATAGTCCACAGTGGCATGGCTGCGGCTTCCGTCGGCATCAGTAGCCTCCAGCGTAAGTAGAGTAGAACCAGTGGGCAGGTCTTCGGTCACAGACACGCGGTAGTGTGGCAATGTGAAGCTGGGGGCATGGTCATTCTGGTCCTGCAACTGCACATGCACTGTGGCGCGTGCTGCCCGGCCAGGCATCCCATGGTCGCGTGCTTCCAGCACGACATCCACCACTCCTGGTCCCTCCTGGACCAAGGCCACCGTTCCCACTGTCATGAACAAGGTCCCTGAGATAAGAAGGGGATAGAAAGAAATAGGCATTCAGCAGAAGCTCTGGGGAACAGGAGACTGGGGGTCCAGGAAATGGCCTGCAGGACTCAAAGTTCAGGGACTGACGTTTAGCCAAGCAATCAGGAAAAAGCTTATATTACAGAGAAGAAGAAATGTCCTTCCTGAGTCAAATACAGGGGTTATGAGTTTGGGCTACAAATTCAAGACATGAGGTCAGGATAGGGCCCAACATGGTAAAAAGTTAGAGTCAGATCCTAGGAAAGACGCACCGTTGTTGGGGTCAACACTGAAACCCTCAGCAGAGGAAGCCAGGTGGTAGGAGATGTGACCATTTGCACCCGAGTCCCGGTCAGTGGCAGAGACAGAGAGAATGGCACTGCCTGGAGGTGTCTGCTCCAGCAGGGTCACCTGGGGTGTGAAGGAAGCATTTATGGTCAAGCTGTCCAGCTGCTCTGGCACTCACTCAGCCTGGAGTTTGCCTCCTGATCCCTGCTAAGCATACTCAACATTCAAATAAAAGCATCCCCCCTTCCTCCCTTTCTGTGCTCAGGGTGCAGAGACTGGACACAGTCCACTTGGAGGACTTGGCGAGGCTGGTCTGAGAAAGGACCTCTCATTTCCAGAGTGCCATCCCTAGTTCAGTTCCAAAGTCCAGCCCATCCTAGATCCTTCTAGCCTGGTTACTTTAACCCAATGGGAACAACCCTAGGCCCAGGGGTGGGGATGCTCAGGGCCATTGGTACCTGGTAGAGGCTCTGAGAGAAGGCAGGTGCATTGTCATTGACATCCTCTACAAGCACTGTGAGGTTGGCACGACCCTCGTGAGGGCCATCGTGTGCCAGCAGCTGCAGATAGTAGCGATCGTGCTGCTCGAAGTCCAGGGGGCCTGTGAGGGAGACGCGGCCCCCATAGCGACCAACGCTGAAAGGATCCTGGGGCCCAGATGGGCTTAACACATACCACAGCACTGGTCCTGAATCCACATCATTCCCTGTAACCTGGGCAATCTCTGAGCCCAACAGTGCATCTGCAACAAATGAATGAGTGTGC